AAATAGGTTTGTCTTCTACTTGATTTGTCTGCTCCCTTCATGGCTAAATCTATCGAAGATCCAAGATGTCCTTCATATCGATACGTCGGCCTAGCGCAGAATAAAATATCTTCGTTAACTATCTCTTTGAATAACCGTATTTATCAACTGTCGAAATAGAAAAGGGCATTGCCACAATGCCCAAGATTTATGTCGTACGGCTTAGATTAGTGGGTTTCATTTACCAAAATTATAAGGGTCATTAGTACCTTAATGTGTGAAAGACTGTGATCCCAAAGTTTAGTAATACTTGAGTAGCCTTCATTCCAAAGCCTATTTGAGGCTTACTGAAGGAAGCTGTCAAGTGTGATGGTCACCGTTTGTTCTTAAAGTAGGCCATGCCGATGTAGAACCAACAAAATGTCTCCGATTATATTTCGACATTTTTTATCAGTTATTTCCTTTATTTGTTTCTAATCGAACGCAGTAGGACGCTGTCTATATTCATTGGCCTTCTAGCACGAGTGGTGACAACGGGACTGAAATGTTTTCTCAGAATTCGTAAGGCTAGCAGTGACAATTGTGGTCAAACCGCTCGACAGGTGGATGGTCTCAGATATTTTTGATTGATGCTGCTGCAATGTTGTTTCGTCAAACTTCATAGAAAACTTAGTGACAAATTTGAATCCATTTTTATTTGATTCTCCTCTTCAATAGCGGTACGAAGCAAGGGATTAGCATGTCAATTTGAATAGTTTTGAGAGACTATTCATCTGCTTTTCTTAAAGTTTAAAGTTAGCTAAGCACTAAACAAAGTATGCAAAATAATGACAAAGTTATATCTAAGGTATGTAGCCTAAGATGGTGAAGCCTTTAGTATGTTATAGATCCGCTTTCGTTGGAGCGAAGATGTTTAGTCTTGTTATCGCAACTTGGTCATAGTGACAGAAATACCTAGAGGATAGAACCTTGGCTGGATTCTATAGTATGCATGATTATTTACAGAGTCGGACCGTAGACCTGGTACATTCCCAGACGTTTCGCCAGCATCGTAGTCAGTGAGTCTTGCCAATCTTAGCTTCAAATTACCACTCGTTAAAGGGACATGCGAAGTCGACTTTTTGACCAATTGTCTGCTAAACAATTGTGGTACCTCCTTCTGTCCTAAGGTATTCACCAATCCTATATCCTCGTATCACTTTCTTAATATCTCAAGTTATTACTTGTTTATATAAACCTAGTAGTGGTGTGCCCTTTTGATCGAATTTAGTGAGACCTATTCACACTCCCTGTTCGCTCGCTCATCTCCCCCTTCACTGTACTGGGAGTTTTGATCCAGGATCCGTAGGATACTTTCCTTATCTGCCTGGTTCAGGGATTTCAAGCCATCGCTGCCACCGTTTCAATGCTACTCTAGGCGTTATGTTCTACACTTTGCCTCATGCCTTTGATAGCACGTATACGCCAGCCTCGCTGGGCAAGCCCACAATGTACCATGGCGACCTAATTTGACGTTGCAAATTCCTGTTTCACTGTGCCGCATGTGCACTGAGTAAATCTCGAAGTCAAGCCTTTACTTCATAGACCACGTCTATGATCAATCTTATCTATTAATAGCTTACTATCAATGGTATCCGCCTTATCTCTTGCTCTTATATCTATAATGCCAAGTCGATGACCTTCGTATGCACTGGTTTCTTGTGGGCCGACCTACAAATGTGAAAATTCTAATTGATGCGAACAGGCTCACTGCAAAAGTCTCCCCTTGGTTTTCGCTTGTTTCTCTTTGGTCTCCTTGTATTTTATATTCCTAAGATTAAAAATATTACCTTTCTCTAGTCGCCTTCTTTTTGCTAATATTGCTGTTCCCTGATCTTTTCCGAGTTCGCTCAAGCAATATGAAAAGTTTTCGCTAATCCTGCCTTTTTCAAATCACCTGTTCATTAGATTGCTT